TCTTCTTCTTTACCACTGGAAAGTTCTTGTTCTCCTCCCTCTTGCTTAGGTCCAGACTGGTGTGGACAAGTGTGAGAACCAGTGTAGTGTAGTGGTTAAGTGTGCAGGACTGGGACTTAAGTGATTTTTACTCTTTTCTTCTGGCATCATGGAGCATCCCTTAAATGCAGTGTCAGCATGGCAGTGGCAGTGATGTTTCTATCTTGTCTCTAAATTGCCGCAGGACCTTTCATACAACGTTTGAAGCGTTTTGCTCTGTAAGCACCTCCTTCAGCACATCTGCTGCCTGCTTAGGACACATCATGTGCAGGATTGCATGGTTGTTCTGTGGCAGACTAGATGCAACGAGGCAGAGGATTGGCTTAGATGGTAGTTTAGTTCATTTTAACTCATACTGTACATTACAGTAATATCTTTGTACTTGAACCTAGCCACAGAAAACGAAGCAGATAAACAAGCATCAATTTATTTTTCTTACACTAAGTATAGTGTATATAGTGTAAATTGAATGTATAATATACAAAATAGCAAGAGTGAATATTTATTTTCATCTGTGTCTAGATAAAGTGGGTCAATGCAATGCACACTTTGAGGGTTTCCTAAACCTGGAAAAAAATCCAGCCTTCTTCCCAACCACATACATGTCCATGATTTATCTTGCCCAGAAATTCATTCAGTGGTGTAACAAAGGGATTTCAAGAGAAATGAGTATTTCTTTCAAGATGAAGTACATTGTCAGAAAAAAGATTTCATGATATTATCAACCATTAATCAACTCCTCATTAGTATAAAAGCAGGGATATTTAGCTGATTAAAAGATTGCTAGTTTGGCTGATTATTCAAATTTACTTAATGTGGATTGTTGACCCTTGTAACCATACAGCTCTACTCACAATCAGAACGTTCCTGCTAATTTTTCCAACTTTTAAAATACATAGTTATGGATTACATGAAGATTTCATGTGCATTAGTGATGGTATGCACAACATCAGGAAGATATAGTTATTCCAAATTAATACACTGTATGAGGCACACTTTTGTGTATGAAATTTGGCCATTGAGGCAGCCCGTCCTGGAACAGGCACCATATTACCCCCCAGGGAGTAGGTAGCCCCCACTGCCTTCCAGTGTGGCCCTGTCACCCAAATGCATGTTGGGAAAAGAGTACAGATTTGCTGCTGGAAAGTAACAGTAAACCTCAGTAGACCTTTTTCAGGCTAAATTTGGCCATTGTAGCATTCATATCGTCGATTTATTTTGCCACTGTGGTCACATTCAGTGGGACAGGTGTGCACCCATCTGGGGTGCATGTCCAGTCGCCAAAAATGCACCCCCTTCCAAATTGCATACTCCTATAAGTTGTAATTTCTTCCAGGGTTGCCTCTTCTCCCATGATAACAAGTCCTTCAATTTTTCTACTTTGCAGCACCAAGGCTCTCAAAATGTGAATGTGTGCAGCAGTAAGATTAAAGAAGAAAGTAGGCCTACATCTCAGTGAAATTCATCTGCAAGAAAATCCTTTATCGCAAAAAACAGAGACTGTTAAATCCTGGGTTAGATGCTTAGCTAGCATAAATCAGTGTTTATCTATTGATTTTTGTAGAGCTATGTGGTACAAGGCCGGCTAAGGATCATCTCTTGATTTAAAAAGCAGTCTCAAATGGCAGCAAGTGCCACTTTCCGCTCTAAACAATGAATAACTAGGCAGCACAAATTCCAAAGAAGATATTGTGCTTTGCTGCATTCTTAACTGGAGGATATAGGAAGCTGGATAAAGCTTCCAGAATGTGGGTGGCAGACATGATTTCAGACTACAAAAGCAAACGGGCAAAACTGGGTGCAATTTCTGAAGCCAGTGAATTAGTCAATCCAAAATCACAATGTTGAAGTACAGGCTGTTTTTCTGTACCCTGGTCAGATTGTTGATAGGCAAGGACGGACACAAGGTAAACTGCAATCCACTGCCACATTGCTGCAATTCACCTATTACTGGTGGATCACTTAGAACAGAAGAGCATTTAGAAACTCTTTCGGGTCATTTCTTGGGGGTGGGTAGCACATTCCAGTGGTGGGAGGAACCAAAGTGAAAAGGGGTAGCCTATCAAAGGCTACTAGCCCTGATGGCTATAGTTACCCCTGATCAGAGGCAATATGTCTATGTACACTAATTGCTGGGGAACATGGGCAGGAAGGTGCTGTTTTACTCATGTCCTATTTGTGGAATCCCATGGGCAGTGGATAGGCCACTGTGTGAACAGAATGCTGGACTAGGTGCAGCATGGCTCTCCTTACACTCTTATGGGGGCAACCCCTCACCAAATAAGATCATATTTTAGTTTAAAGCCATCACTATAGGCAACTGTCAGGAAATGCATTCCAAACTTTTGCACTGGAGAAAAGCTTGCACAAAAGCCAGGAAACCATAGAACAGTTGGTGGTTGGTGGAAAGGAGGTGGGACCAGAGGAAGGAAGTGTGGCATCCTAGGGAACCTTGGAGGGCTGGACTTGGACTGCAGGTAGGCCAAGTGTGGTCTCCAAACCTGAGGATCTACATTGACATCCTGTTTGGGTTACTTGGATTCATGCAAAAGAGTGCCCAAACTGTTTTGACCTTGATCTGTTTTTGCAGCGTGCCTGCTTAAAAACACATAGTACACATTAGTTATGCCATTACTGTTATGAGAGCCTGACTGTGCACCCTTACTTTGTAAATTCAAAACAGACTGTTGGCCCATGTGGATTCTAATTCAAAAGAAGACCATGCAAGTGTGAGGTCAGCTGCTATTGATTTAGGACAGCATGAAGCGATCTGCTAAACTGGAAGAGATCTGAAATGGAAAAGGGAGTGCAAACAAGGTAGGGAAGAGTTAGTCAGGAAGACTCTGGTGTATATGGCAGCAACAGGAGGACCTAGCATATATGCAGAGCAACAGCTAAGGAAGATACACAGAGAATGTGCAAATGGAGAATGGGAGGGACAGGCTGCACACAAAGCGAACTGATGGATGTCAAGAGAAGGCCAAGCGACGGGGAATAATGTGGACAGCGCAGGATGGGGATACACTGCTGACTGGAAAGGAGTACACACTTGAGGAATGCACACCAGAAGCCATATGGTGCCTTGCACACAGCCTGTTATCTTCCAGGGATCCCCATGGCAGATGAGTGTAATAGCAAGGAACAGGTTGGTTGAACATGGGTAGTTAATTGTTATTCATTTCAAGTATGTGTATTCTGTTCTTCCAAGCTAAAAGAATCCTATAGCTGCTTACATATATCAGTAAAATGAAATGGTTCCTGCCCACAGGAATAAAATCTAAAAAGACATGACGCACAAGGAAAAAGGAATGTGGGGAAAGGGGAGTAAAGAGTCTTCAAGTAGAGCTGATGGAATGGCCCAGCACCACCTTATTTCTTTCAGTAAAGCCTCGGAGTATAAGACAACCTCACGAAAGAGTAACAGTGAAGGCAACAATGAAGCTCAAGAAGCACAAGAGATGAAAGGTATGGAGAGACAGAAAGGTACAAAGATCAGGTGTAGAGTAGGTGGTAAACTTTGTTTTAGCCTTCTCTTCCCTCTGATAGGTAAGTTTTCTATGAGCAAGGGGGTCATGAACCCTACTGCACTGAAGCATATAAACCAAACACAGGTTGATCATTTCTGTGAGAATTAAGCCCAATTACTGACCATGCAAAAATTGAGAAAGGGAGGTACATGAAATGTATAGGCTTCAATGTGAGCTAAGCTCCAATGATAACTGCCTGAGCAAACTGGAGCTTCTGCTTTACTCAAAACATTTGGTAACTTGTTTGTTTAATGATATAAGTCTGCTGAACACTGAACTACTGCATTCTGCTGAAGAAAAGTATTGCTTCATGAAGGCCACTCTTGCCTTGTTTATACTGGCCGTTGATGGATGTACAGGGCTTGATCCAGAGAGCTCTTTCCCAGAAATAGCAATGGGGCCTTTCCATTTGCAAAGACCTATGGGATCTCCCCGTACAACTAACTGAAATAAGGCTTTTGACGAAGTGTCTTGCCCCCTGCTTATCACCTCGGGGCCAAAATCCAGTGCCCCATAACTCAGCAGCACCCCCAAATGACCACCAAGAGCAACAGGTGCAGAAGCAAACTCCATTTTATTCCTGCACCAATGATGGTGCTCTGCTTTATTGAGCTTAAAATGCAAAATTCCGTATGTTCAGAATATTTAAAAAAACAAGAGTGAAACATATTTTAATTGTGCTTCTAAGGTATCACAGGAATGCTTTAAGGCAAACCCTCCAATGTTTTGGACCCAAACTCCGAGAATTTCTGGTCACATTCTTGACAAAGGCCAGAACACCTGGAAGGTACCAGGTTAGAGAAGGATGTTTTAAAGAACGAACAGCAGCTGCGGGAAACTTTAAACTTCCCAACTGAAGAAATACACATAAAGGAACCCTTAACCCCGCTCATCAAATCTCTTGTCTAAAATGGCCTAACTGCACCAATACACAGAAGGAACCAAAATTAGACAGAGAAATTTGGGCAGTTTGGCTTATTTTTTTCAGGCCAGAAAGCTGACTCTGGCATTTTCCGAGCAGGAAACCGCCCCCCTTCTTAGAAATTAAGCAAGAGCGTAGATCTAATCGCGCTTGGGCGGAGGCCACGGCGACGAGCGGGGCCGAGAGGAGGCGAATGGGGAGTGGGCTCGGCGCACGCGCGCACGCCCAGCCTGACAGTTGCCGGGCGCGCGCCTCTCTTTCCCTCGGCCGTTACTTCCCCCGTTCGCAGCAGCGGGCGCGAGCGGCTGTGGGGGAAGGGAGCGACTCAGTCCGTAAAGCGGAGCCAGTCGCCAGCGCAAGCCCAGCCCAGCGCTTCCCTCTTCGGGCTGCTTCTTCCCACCTTCCTCTCCAGGGCGCCTGGGGGTTGCCGAGGAGAATGGTCCGGCCGAGACGAAGCTTAGGCAAGGAGTCACCGCCCACCAATTCCTCTGGCGGCGGCGGGGCTCCTCCTTCTTTTCCTCCCCCGCCGCCGCCGCCGCCACCTCAGGAAGCGAAGCAGCAGCAGCAGGGCCCGAGCGGGGACGGCGAGCTGGAGCCCAGCCCCAGCCGAGCAGCGCCCGCCGACAACGAGCCGCCCTCCCCGCTCCCTTTCTTCCGCGGGCTGCAACGGTCGCTGGGGAGGCAGCTTCCTGGCGGGGCTTCCGCCTACCCGGCGATGAAGAGGGGAGGGACTGGCAGGAAAGGGGCCAAGAGCGACAACCAGAGGCAGGAGAAGCGAGACCGCTTGGCCCACGAGCTGGGCGATTGGCAGAACTGGCTTAGCGGTGAGAGAACAGAGGGGAAGGAAACGGAGGACGAGAGTAAAGGGACGGATGGGGAGAAGGGGAGGCGATGCCGCCGCGTGAGTCCTGGCCCGAGATCCGCTTTGCGCGGCCGAATCCCTTGCGAGCTGACTCGGAAGGAAGTCAAAGCGAGTTTCGTGGAACTTCTCCTTAAAAGAGAGTGCCTAGGACTGAAACCCAGCGAGGCTTCCTTCCGAGTCGACGTGCCGGCATCTGTCTGCAAGACAGCAAGCACTTCGGTGCACGCTTAGATTGAGAAAAGTCCCTTTGAGTTCAAGAGGATTTCTGCTGCCTTGCCTGCCCTTCGCGGGGTACTGCACAGAGGATCATTTGCAGTGTTTGCACTTCGTCCCTCAGTGTAAATACCCTTCAGTTTTTGTTTTTGTTTTTTTGCGGGGGAGAATGAAAATGTTGCGAAATACGTAGAAATGCTTGCCCCTCCGCCCCACTTTTCCCACCTTGCTTACCATCTTTCTGATAGGCTTTTTTTTAGGTTGTTCTGGGCTGCATGCGTTTTTTTTTTTTTGAACATAGAACGGATAATGGGAAGGAAGTAATAGTGCGAAAGAATATTTCCCAAGGTTTTGTGTGTGCGTGTGTTTCAGGGGAAAGAAGCAGAACTGCTGGTGAGACCAAAAACAAATTCTTGAGAAGGTCGACAGGGGACGTCTCCCTGCCTTTACCAAGCTATCGATGTTGCCCTGAAAATCACTCGGATAGAAAGTCCTCAGGGCAGGGAATTGGTCTTTTAAATCAGACATGCAGTAAGCTTCTTGGTGCTTATTGCTAAGATTTGTTAACGGTGACTTCTTTTCGTTTTTTGTCAGATATGATGGGACCTTGCAGCAATGGTAGCCTAGATAAAATCCTTGGGAAGTCTTACCTGTTTCAGTGGAGCTCAATTTACATTAATAGAGCTGCATCAAAGCCTTTTGGATATGTACAGCTTTTGATGTTAGCCTTTTCCTGGTAATTTTAGAGGTGTTGCTCATCTTTCTTTCTACAGGTTAGAAATGAACCTATTGTCTTAGGGCTGTTGCAGATCTGACTACTGTTCCCAGGCAGTATGCTCTATCTAAAAATGCAGTCTGGTACATGCTTAATCTCAGTATGCCCTATTGACCTCAGGGAAATGCATTTAGATGTAAATATGAATAATATTGGTTTTTGCATGCTGTAGGCATATTAGCTTGAAAACTTTAATATTTAAGCTTTTAAAATGTAACTTAATGGTTTGGATCCAGATTTAGGTTTGTGCCATTGGGCTGGCAGAAGTGAACTTACTTGCCCTTTCCTACCCACAGCAGCCTGTTCAGCTAGCTGGAAATGCTACACAGAAATCTGTGGATCTCCCCTCAGTGAGTTGAATTTGGTAATGTAGGGACAATCCCTGAAAGTTGGCAGAGGTATCTTCTTAAGCAAAGCCCCTCCATCAACAGAATTCACATTCTGGATCCAACCTGTTATATTCCAGTTAGGTTTGCTTGTAGTCAAAGTGTACTAACAATTGTAACCCATTAAAATATGGGTTAGAGTCAGCTTTTGGCAGATACAACTAGCCTGGTAAAAGTGAACTTCCTTCTTCCATTTCTGCACAGCAATGCCTCAAGTCCTCTTCCCAGCATGTTACATAAAGGGTCGGGGTAGGGAAAGAGATACCTGAGAAGTACCTACTTAAACAGGTAGGGAACGAGAGAAATCTGAGAAATACCTTGTGTGAGAGGTAGATGGTAGGCACCTCAGATACATGCATCAAAATCTGGATCCAACCCTATAGAGCCAGTTTGTATGCCACAGTGAAAAAACCCTGGGTTGCTTGCAAGTGAGTGAGCGTGCTGATGCATGCTGTGAGCTGAACAACCCCGAGACAGATTGTTTAGCATTCTGCATGAACTAGGAATTCAGGCTTATCAGACTAGATGCAACCCTGGGATATCATAATGCAGTAATAATGTTTCTGTGGGTATTCATAATCATACAGAAATTAAAGAATATCATTTTTCACGTTAATAGAATTCGAACTGTATATGTGGTAACTCAAAATTGTTATCACATATTGTTACATGTTGGTGTTAAAACACCTCAGATTCGGTTTGTGGAGTTGAAATGCACTTAAAACAGCATTATAAATGTTCCCAAAGCAAATATTTAAGAATATTCTATCAACTGCTGTAACATGAAATATAATGTTAAAAATAAATTAGAATAACAAAATGTGTAATGAAGCTGCTTCTTTTTAAACAGCCACTCTGAAAGAAACAGGGAACTTCATCACAAGAGCAGATCGCAAGATATGGCTTACCCTCATAATGGGTGAGAAATATTTATCATTTAAGTTTAAGGGTTTAAAGTTTAAATGTTCATTGTCTAACTGTACAGTCCCATATGTACCAATTCAGAAGTTAAGTCTTACTGAGTTCAGTTCAACTTACTCCAAGGTGATGAAGCATCTTCAGTTTTACTTGTTGATATGCTTTTGATTCCACAAAGGTAATGTGAATAGGCTACTTGGAAGCATAAGATTAACTGTATATGTAAGTTCTTGTAGGAAGTCATAAAATAATATTGCCAACCCATGTGGTTCTGAAATTAAACTTCCTGAACATTAATTTGTTATTGGTGATTATGTTACTGTGACTGTGGTCTATAACAATTATTAAAACAAGTAGGTCATTAAAAAGAATGGTATTCAGCTTTTTTTTTGAGGAGTTATAAAAGTATGTATATTGCACAGGTGTGTGTTTAAGACAAGTGTGTATGTTTGGAATCCTTAGGGATTAAAGTAACTTTTAAGGGGGTCCATTACTCGTTTTAACCTGGAGACCAAACACCTGGGATTTTTCCCACTCCAATTAGATGAGCATATTCAGGAAGTGATTTTAAAATTAGATACATGTGCACCATTCTATGAGGTCTTTGTGCACTGGTGATTCCACCCTGTCTTTCATAACAGAGACTGCACTGCTGGTATAAATGTGAAATATCTTACTGTTAACTCCCTACACTTCCAATGTAACATACAAATTCCAGACTAAGTCCATGAGATGTTGCTGACTGGACCTGCTCTGGGTTTGGAACCACCATGTGTTTTTTTTAAGATATGGTATATGAATAATTCAACCTATTGAATTATTAGGCTGAATTATTCATATTATGGGATCCATTTTTAGTCAGAACTGCTCTTCATACAGATATGAAACAGAAGCCTTTCCATTTTGATTTTGATTTGTACAGCTTTTTATCTAAAATGTATGAAGGGCACAGTCTTACGCATGACTAAATGGACAAAAGTCATAGCTGGGTAATTCTGGAAGATGTAGGACTTTATTTCCTTAAGCATGCATAGGATTGCTCCCTAAGTATAAGAAATCTTAATGCAGAGTAATATTTTGGGTTTCTAAGCACCTAGGCATGTATTTTTAAAAAGCTGATTGTAAAAGCCTGAGATTTCATTTATATATATTGTTTTATTTTTCAAACAGCTACTGTTGCAGGAATCCTTCACTGGTACGTTAATCTCTAGAGCACGACAACAGACAAAGGTCCAGCAATTGTGTGTCTGTGATTTATGCTTTAGAAGCAGGGGTGGGCAAATTTTTGGCACTGAGGATTGCATGTGGAAGTAGATTGGGGGCTGCATGTGGTTGGTGGATGGGCCTGGCCTCCCTCTCCCTTCTTTCTTCCACACGTACAGAGCCTTTACTATATTAAAAGCTGAGTACTGTTGAGTTATATGCAGATCAGGCCATACATGCCATAGACAGTAGGTTTTAAGTTTAAATTTCAGTCTTCTATTTTAGATGACAAGCATACATGCTTCAGTCTGCCTCCATTTCTAACCTCAAACTTTTTCTTGAACTCACCTTTTCATGCTGTCAGAAAAGGCCTTTTCTCTGTCAGAAAAGGTTTTTTTTTCTAGGAGGATGAACTTGGGCCTAACAAGCTACTTGGGATTGGATACTTCCCATCTGTGCTGTCAGGTGTAGAACCTGTCATTGTTGATGGGTTTCATTGCTGTTTGAAAAGTCCAAGGGAGAATAATGCAGGCCATGCTAGTCAGCCAAAAACTGGTGCAAAATAGATGTTACGGGACAGGCAAACTGATGTGGGTCTCATGTCTTTTTGTCTCCTGTCTGTAGGTCTCATGTCTATTTGAGCTCTTGCCAAATGGTTGCATTTAGAAGTGACAGTCAGAAATGCGACAAACCAAATTTCCATATGTGGATATCATATAGAAACACATTTTTTAGATCAACTACCACTTCAGAGTAAAATTCTTTGTACTCTTCTCTCAGATGGTGCTGGGGTAATAGAGATTGGAGAACCTACCTTCGTGGGCACTCTTGTTAGTCAAAACTGCTCTTCATTCAGATATGAAATGGAAACCTTTCCATTCTTCAGTATTCAGTTCTAATGCTAACAGTTCAAGTGTATAGGGTAGTGAAGATATGAGGGAAAGGGTCTCATCTGTCTCTGTCCAACTGCAGAACTTGGTAAAAGAAATCAGGGTGGTAAAAGAATGTTCAGGCTAGTTAATTTTTGTGCTATAATATAATACTGGTTCAATTAATCTTCATATTTCTGGGTTTTCTTATTTTGTTATAGGTATCATATAAAAACACTCTTTGAAAATGACCGTCACTTTTCTCATCTCTCAACTCTGGAAAGGGAAATGGCTTTCCGAACTGAAATGGTTAGAATTATATTTTAAGTGAAACTATTAATTTTAAAGCTATTAGCTGTAACATTTTTTCCACCCTGAGGTGAGGTAGACAAACCATGAATGCTTAACAATCCACAATAGTATTACATAATACTATGTTTTTATCTGAAGATTCTTTTATTCAGCCTTCCATGAAAGTGAATGTTTAAGTCAAAGGGTTGTTGCAAGGATTGGTACGATACTAAATATATTCATATGTATATATGAGGTGGTATCTAAATAATTACTTTTATTCTGTCACACAACTTTGAATGTGCTGATTTTGCTTGCAAATTAATTTCCTGTTTGTGGTCTTCTATTTTTTTAAAAGCGACTAGTTCTCCTGGAGTTAGGACATGTATTCACTGAATTAGTAAACATTGTGTAGAACAAACTAGGTTATCAATCAGCGAAACATACTATACCCCCACATACATATCTTTAGAATAAATACGTTTATTTGAGTCTAGATTTAGTCATACTTGGAGTAAACCCACTGAAAGCAATGGAAAGTTAATCACAACTAAAGTCCTGTTTATATTAATAGGTATATTCCAGGAGTCACACATTCTTTTCAGCCAAAAGGTTGGCTTACATTTTGGAAAAGTTCTCAAGAACCACTTTCTTGAAACCACATGGGCAAACCAAAGATACAGGGGTGGAGCTGATCTCCTGTTGCTACCAGTTCATAGTGGGAAACATGCTAGCACCAATTCAAGAATGAGGAACATGTCTACTCACAAAGAGGCAGGACACGCTTCTATCTGTCTAGTTAGAAACAAGTATAGGTATCATGTCTGCTCACAAGTTAGCAGGGTATGCTTGTTCAGGAGGACAAGGCTGCAAATGAAGCATGGCTGAGTCAATGCGCAGCACTTTCAAGTAGCATTCCAAATAAGCCTCTGCATGTCTACTGAGAAATAAGTTTCATTTGTAATCAAAAGCAGGATAGTGCTTGGAAGCAAGCAGGACTGAATCATTTCATTTATTCATTTTCTGTCTGTATCACCCAATGGCCAAAGCAATCTGAACAGTTGCAGTACAAAATAAATAGTATAACAGTCTTAAAATACAGATTTTTTTTCAAAAAAATAATTTTTAAATAACTGTTAAACAGCTAAAGATGGTTACAATAAAATAATTGGGCCTGATAAAATATAGCTTTATCATATACAATTAGATGTCTGAGAGTACCTTAGCCTGGAGGTGAGAAGATGATGACACAAGGTAAATTCAGTGGGGAGAGCATTCCACAGTTAGGGTGGCAGAGGGTAACACTGAAACGAACCTCCCATATTACCATACTGTGAACCTCCAAAGAGCAGGGACTTGGGGAAGGGCCTCAGACAATAATCTAGTGTATGGGAAAGTTCATATCTCAGCAGCTTTCTCTCCTGGCCCTCTCTCCTCTGTGACACAGCTGATCAGAGATAAGTACTTTCCCCTGCCAGATGTTGTGAAAGAGAGCCGTATATCTGATCATCTGCTGATTGGTAAGAGCTTTTCCTTGCATGGTAGATGGGGCCAGGTAGAAAAGCTGCTAGGTCAGATGGGTCATTTCCATGGTCTGGAGGTTCCTGAAGCCTGTTGTAAAGCTAAGTATGACTAAGCATGGATCTTAGTGGATTTAAATTAAATTAAAATTAAATGTTGAATCTGTGGGAATGGGGCAGTATATAACTATTAAGATAAATACATGTTAATTTAGCTGTTTTGAAATATTAAACTTTTTTGATGATAACGGTTGGGTAGATTTGGCAGTTATGTTTCTGAAATATAAAACTAGTCAACTCAGTCAATTTTCATGTGTGTGCTAGATTTTCATATGAGGCACATTCTATGCCAAAGTGATGGGAGTCGCTTAATCTTGCATTCTAAACTAGAAATTGGAAGCAATTAGAAAGAACACTTTATGTGTGTGCAGTGGGGCAGGGGGATGCTCCTTGTGGTTGTATTTGTTTGAGAAGGAGGGAAAAGGTGGTGTGCTGCATTGGCTGCCCGTATGCTTTCAGACCCAATTCAAGGTGTTGACTTTAACCTATAAAGCTTTACATGGCTTGGGCCCACAATACTGTCAAAGCACCTCTTCCAATTGCTGTCTGCTCAAACACTATGCTCAACCTCTTGGAGGGTGGCAACAAGGGGAGGGCCTTCTTTGTGTTGAGCCCCCATCTTTGGAAAAACCACCTGCTATGGCCTACCTGGCTCCAAACTTGCCTTCTTTTTGGCACAGGTCAAAACAGTCTTTTGATGTAGAGACCTTTAAAGATCTAGTTGGTCACCCAGGGGCCTGAGGGGATTACCAAGGTGATTTTTTTTCTGTTACAGAGTCCTTTTTTACTGTCTGTTTTTTATCTATTTTAAATTAATTTTAATGTTGTTTTGTTTTTATGGTATTTGTATTAAATTGTATTTTATACACTGTCTTAAACCACCAAGGGAACTTTGGCTATGGGGTGGTATTGAAATGAAATAAATCATCAGCATCATTTAATTTGTCTTTGATTGTCAGTTAAGGACTTCAATCCAGCACTGCACACGAGTGCCATAAGCCAGTTAAGAATGTTCACTTCCCTATCATACAATGATTCCAGTGCTCTGTTTTGCTCAATTGGAGCAGTTATGTATAGTCTTAAAAAGGTTAAGTTCAGTGGGACATATATTGATATCTATAAAAATATCTATACCTCTGTTGCTTTAGAAAATAATTGTGAGAGATCCTTTCTGATTAATTTCATCTAAATCTATACTCTTTAGGGTCTTTATTATTCCTATTTTAAGACCATCATTGAGGCACCATCCTTTTATAGTGGAGTCTGGATGATTATGAATGATAAGCTGACTGAGTATCCACTTGTAATCAATACGCTGAAAAGGTTTAATCTCTACCCAGAGGTAAGTTACTTCTTACATAGTGCTTCTTTTGTCTTAGGCTTCATTCCAATGTTACTTGCATTTCTATACTGCCCAATAGCTGAAGCTCTCATGTGAATCTAATAATACTATTCAGAATTAGATCAAGAAATAATTATTTCATTAAAAATGAGATTAAAAGGATTTCCAAATAATTGTTTAGAACAGCCTTCCCCAGCCTAGGGTTCCTGTCTGAGACAATAACTCCCATCATACCTGCCTGTTGGCCATGATGACTTGGGTCACTGGAGTTGGTCAAAAACCTCTGAAGGACACTTCATTGGAGAAGACTGGTTTAGAAGGTGATACATTAGTCAATAGCCTAAGGGTTAGATGTAATACTTCCACAAATAAGAAATACCACTTCAGAAAACATGACTGGAAGCAAACTTTCAGTGGTATTAAAATTTTAGTGGACAAATATAGCTAGTGTATGCATCATTAATTCATCTTGTCTGAAGGGCTCCGTTAACAAATACTTGTCCTTGCTGCTCTTCCAACCTTATTGGTTTTATGTCATATTTAACTGCTATCCATTGCACAACTTCTGGATTTTTTAGAATCATATGTTGACAGAGAAAATACTGGAAAAACTTTTGTTCAATGCAAATGACTTAAAGGAGAAGCCATACACGCTTAGCTTGAGATTATCATTAGTGTTGTTATTGGAAATACTTGGCTAAGGGGTAAAGTGCCAAAGGTATCAAAACAAATATAGTACATGTACATGTAACTAGACTATGTTGAAAAGCAAATGCACAAATAGATTGTGCCTGTTGATTTGAGATAGTAAATTACATTTGAATTGCAACCATTTCATTACATCTTCCATTTTCACTTTATGTGTTTCCTCCCCTTTTGGTCAATAAATAATGCTCTGCTTAAGTTTATGTGGTATTTTTCTTATCAGTATATTTGTTAGGAAGATTAGGACACATCATTTGCTTGGATGCTTTGAACTATAGTTGGGTGTTTATACCCACCCCCCTTTCCCCTAGCCAGACCCATTAAAATTGACTTTAAAAATGTATTGTATGGGGTGAATTCAGGCTAAGTTAGATCCACTTATGTCTGGCTGAACTCTATGAAAAGTTGATCATGACACTGCTTTTAATTTCGTCTGAACCTAAATCAGTGCTTGTTACAATATCACGACTAGCAACAAATACAAAATGTCATTGGGAAAATCATGAGGTTTGATTTTGTGTATAACTACTTTATATTAAGGGAGCCTGCTTTTGTTGTTTGATTAGTTCTGGTCAACCTAACCATTCCATTTAACTTATGGCAAATACAAAAGCTGTTAGCATGCATGTATTAATTCTACCTCTAGGTAATATCTAGTATATTTTTTCTTTATCTACACATTATATGTTTTCATGGTCCTGACGTTAGCAGCCAGCAAAGGATAGATCAAAACAGTTTGATATCAGTACATGGTAACATTCTTCTGCAGTATTAATGAGTGGGAGATAAATGTGCCTTGGCCATTTTAGTACCAGCTGTGCATTTAGGTTACAATCCTATGCACATTTAGACAGAAAAGAAAGGCCTGTAACTTCCTGGGTTCCCCAGTCACTCATGATGGGAATTGTAGGACATTTTTCTGTCTAAACATGCATAAGATTGTGCTTTTGGTGCAACATTTAGTTTGGCCCTTTATCAAAATAAAGCCTGTAGTAGAGTATGTGTCTGTTTTATAGCATGTACTAAATAGGTCTTGAGTTACCTTATCTAAGAAAGTGTACTGTAAAAGTTAAAATGAAGTATCTTAGGGGAAAACCTAATGAATAGCTAGTTGAGGCTTTTCTTTCATCATTGATATAAACTTAGGCAAGTTCATCTTTCGACATTATAATCCTATTTTCTGCACAGGTTGTGTTAGCCAGTTGGTACCGCATATACACAGGGACAATGAATGCCTTTGGTATTCAGACACAGAAATGTTGGAGTGTGAATAGGGGAGAAGGTCTCAGCCCTGTTGAAAGCTGTGAAGGCAAGTGTTGCTGCTATTTCATTTTGGATGTTGCTTAAGACAGAAATATGAAATGTCAATGAAAGGTTTCTAAAGTCTTCTTATAAATTAATTCTGATAAATTAATAAGAAAATGAATTAGACTTCAGCTTGTAATCAGTTCATGATTTACTGAATTTCACATATTAAAAAAATGTCAGTGTTCATTTGAAAATCATAGAATGTTGTGAACCGTCCAGAGAACTTTGACTGTTGGGAGGTATAGAAAATAAATAAGAAAAATCATAGAGTTGGAAGGGACTATTCAGGCCATCAAGTCCAGCCCCTTGCACAGCGCATGAGTCCCTTTTAAAGCATTCCTGATAGTTGGCTGTTCAGTCTTTCCTTGAATAGCTGTAGTGATGGAGAGCCAGCACCTCTCTAAGCAGTTGTTTCCATTGTCTGACTTTGTCCAACTTTAACACAGTTTTTTCCTGATGTGCATCCAAAATCCACCTTCCTGTAACTTAAGCCCATTATTTCTTGTCCTGCAGCCTTGGACGATTGACAATATCCAAGATTCATCTTCTCTGTGACAATCCTTTTAGGTACTTGAAAAGTGCTATGATATTTCCTGTCAACCTTCTCCTCTTAAGGCTAAATATACCCACTTACAGCAAGCCTATTGCAGGACGAGCATACATCTCTTAAGAGCTGTAGACAAATCGTAGAAGCAAAGGCCTTCTTTAATATTCTGTTTTCTGTTTCTTTGGAAACGTGAAATCATAAAACCACAATGTGCTTTTATATCACCTAAGATGGGGTTTATGCAAATCATGCTTATTCCTCATACCTGCTGCAGCCATAAGCAGTAGTGGATTGGGGGTTTCATGGCAGGGAGCAGGGGAAGAGCCCTGTATTATTACTCCAGAGTCCCGCCATATGCCTGTATTTAAGTCACTTTTCCTTCTCTTTTGTCCTGCAACAGTTGGAGTGCAGGTATGTGCTTGCATATGGGTAATCTGGTGAAGTGCTGGCCTCTCTTTTCACCTCCCACATTCAACTCAGAGTAACAAGTACTCTCTCTCAAAACTTGATTGAGAGTTCAAGGAGAGAGGCCTGTTCCTTGTCAGGTTGTTATATGTTTTGCAATGGCACAGGCTTTCTTCTTGCTTCTTACATTTAACCACAGTGCAGTTGGGTTGGTAGCAAATCCAGCCTGCCTTCGCAGTGACTGCTTCCCATTAACCACAGCATATGCACACATTCAGTTCATTGGAACAAGAAATACATTTGGATCACAATCTGTTTTCCTTCTGTCTTGCCTTTTCCATGTTATAACAAGATAGTAACTTACAATCTTCTAACTGAAAATAACAAATTGTAGTCTGATATAGATTTGTTTTCAACAGATTAGGCATGCATTATGTGTAGCTTTCCTCAGGTTACATGCTCTTTATGTCCTTTTATTGTAGTCATGAAAATTGTCACATAATAAGGCAATTGACAAATACCTCATGTTAAGGAATACAATGGGAAAGAGTTTCTAGCACCATGACCTTAATATACACTTTTATTTGTTTTCAGCTCAGCCATTTGTTATAAGACTGAACATTGTCTTATACAGGAAAATGGCATAAGAAATCTATCACTTACTTGGTGATCAGTATAATTCTTGATCAACCAAATACATTTTCAGGGTTCCTATTTCACCACTTCTACAATAGAAGAGACTTGTGAGGGGCCTACTATTTAATTCTTGATGCCCTCTCTGAAGAACCCTCCCCTTTCCCTCAGTTTTCATTAAAAATCTGTGTAAGGACCATCTTTCTTTGAGGGGAGAAGAAAAAGTGTTTTTCCTCTGTAGCTTTTCTTTATTGTTTTATAATATATGTATGTTAATGCTTACTGTTTTGATGACAACAGTATTGGGAGGTAGCCTGAAAAGAGATATAAAATATACTAAACAAATATTGAATTTGAGGGATGCAAGGTTGTATAATGCAAGGTACATATGATAAAAATGTAGCATAAAAACATTATTTGAATATCCATTGCTATTTGATAGGACTGGGAGATCCTGCTTCTTTTTATGTGGCTATGATATTTCTTCTGAATGGATTAATGGTGTCAGTGTTTTTCCTATATGGCACATACCTAAGGTAAGATGCACAAAAGGAAAATTTTAGTTTGATAAGTTGATACTTGCTATTGGCCTTTGAATTCTTAAATATATACTGCACACTGCTAAAAAGGCATTGTGCATTTTTACACGGTTCAAATTATCTCTGGACACCAGTGTGACAGTTTACAGTTAGAACATATGATTGTAAATAATTCTTAAAAAAAAATCTGGCAGCTCAGTTCCTTCTCTGCCAAAACAATCCCAGTTGGGTTTGGGGGAGTATAATGGTAGATCTGTTGTATCCCACACAGCTTGCCCACTTGCATGCTGTCCAATCAAGAAGGTGAGAGGGTACTCCCCTTACCTCCATCAGGTGAGCTTATAAAACTTTCTATTGCTCCCAGTGGGTAGGGAATTTCCTATGCTTTAATCTTAATGGTTTAAAACATCCTGACTGTTTCTGTCAATTTTTAAATCCTCAGGTTCAATTCAGAGTTTTCACATTATTACTATATCTGATGATAATATACTTATTTGACCTTCAGTTTAATTGAACACTAAGATATTAGTTGTAATTATTTGTATGCTTGTGCTTATGCTTTTGTTTTGTTTTTGCTTTTTGCCTTCCAGTTCACTTAAAGAACCAGCTTTCTCCCTTTTTATCAGACTAAAATGGAAGTGTTTTTATTTTTAAGTGTGAAATGACCTTTTCATTGTTTGTAAAACAAACTGAAGAAATCTTTCTGTATAACAGAATAATAATAATAGGATGAGTGTGGAATCTTTTGTAGCATTGTTGAATATTTCTTGAATTCTTCTTGTGCTTCTAAATGCATTTCTGGATCTCACTGATAAGGCAATATTCCCCACTTCAGATATCAATTTTTTTTACCCTCAAGTTTGGACCACTTCTGGCATTTCTTATTTAAAATAGTCATTTACTTGTGAGCCACTTCTCTTACTATAGAAGTTCTCCATAGAATTGCTCATTTTATAAGAACTATGAGGTCAACATCCATGTAGATCAAGGGTGGGCATCACATGGTCTGCATGCAGCTGTTGTGATCATTGCCGCCACCCCCCCCCCCCAGTATTTAAAAAGAAATCTAAAGACATCTATGGTAGCTACAGAGCACCCTACTGTCAAATTTAATTCATTTGCAGTTTGTAAATATAGATTGTAATGCGGGAAAATCCTGCTTGCATATAATAGTTAACATGCTTGTAGCTACAGAGTAGTGCATTGCAGGTAGTTATTCTGCAATGTATTAAGTACTCTTTGATTTCATATACATAGTTATGTGGGAAGGGTACCTTTTTTATTTGGCATAACTCTCAGAGTCAGTCATAAGAACATTGATCTCAAAATGAACGTGTGCTTTGAAGAGCTATGTCAGCTTTGAGGCAGTTCTTCATCCTTTTGCTTTTTGAATTGTGAGTTAGGATACTAATACATGACTGCTATATATCAAGTCTTTCTCAAGGAGTTGAATTTAAATGAAGCTAATTCTATAGCTAAAAATGGTTTTATTTTTATAGGATCTAAAATCAAGGCTATCTCTTTAAAGGGGTTTTAACTGATTTCTGATTCTGAAGACTTATGTGCTTGGAGGCAATAGCTGCTATCTTTCATTTTGCTTCTGTAAAGAAAAGGCATCCATTGGAAGTTTGCATATTCCCTGAGTAGGGGTAAGGAGTAAAAATTAGCAGCTTCCACTTTGTGTGTATCTAAAGCAACATCTAGTCTATAACTTTTGAAGTTTAAAAATAATGAACAATTCTCTTCTTGTTGTAATTGTATAATGGTTTGTAATTGACTGAAAAATTTCAGACTTATCTGAAAGTTTGAGAAGCTGAAGAAAGTTTGAGAAACTGGCTTCCCATTCAAGGTGTTGGTTATCACCTATAAAGCCCTCAACAGCTTGGGTCCTGGTTATCTAAAGGAGCGCTTGCGTCCATATATGCCCTCCCGCCCCTTGAGATCGGTGGCAGAGGCCCTTCTCCAGGAACCCTCCATGAAAGATATTAGGAGGGTGAGTACCCGGAGGAGGGCCTTCTCTGCGGTGGTGCCTAAGTTATGGAATGCGCTTTTCACAGAGGTCTGCCTGGCGCCGTCGTTATTTGTTTTTCGGTGCCAGGCCAAGACCTTTTTATTTAAAAGTTATTTTAATTGTTAATTGTAAACTGTATTTATTTATTGGTTTTAAATTTATGCCGAGATGTCTCCAGATTTTTAAGGTTATTTGTATGATTGTTTATTTTTTTTATTTATTATTTATTTATTAAAACATTTTCATGCCGCCCCATTCGCCAAAGCCACGGGGCAGCTTACAACAATAAATTAAAATAATTATAATCTTAAATTAAAAAATATAAACATTAGCTTAAAAATACAAAAATACAATATAAAATAAGCCACCCTGGCCAGATAAAATTCAATAATATTAACATTTAAAATGCCGCTTAAATAAAAAGCTCTTTGCCTGGTGCCAAAAAACAAATAACCTCTCTGGGGAGCGCATTCCATATCTTAGGCGCCACCGCAGAGAAAGCCCTCCTCCGAGTACCCACCCTCCTGATTTCTTTCACGGAGGGTTCCCGGAGAAGGGCCTCTCCCACTGATCTTGGGGGGGCGGCTGGGCATATATGGATGTAAGCGCTCCTTCAGGTAACCAGGACCCAAGCCGTTTAGGGCTTTATAGGTCATCACCAACACCTTGAATTGGGCCCGGACTTCAGTGGGAAGCCAGTGAAGCTGACGGAGAACTGGAGTCATGTGAACATAACGCCCAGTCCCCGTCAGCAGCCTGGCAGCTCTATTTTGAACCAATTGAAGTGTCCAGACTGTCTTCAAGGGTAGCCCCACGTAGAGCGCGTTACAGAAGTCCAGACGGGAACTCACCAGCGCATGTGTCACTGTTGCGAGGCAGTCGTACTCCAGGTAGGGGCGCAGCTGATGAATCAGCCGAAGCTGGAGGAAAGCGCTCCTCGCCACTGCTGTCACCTGAGCTTCCAGTGAAAGCTCCGGGTCGAGGAGCACTCCCAGGCTGCAGACCTTGTCCCTAAGAGGGAGTGCAACCCCATTCAGGACAAGGTTCAGTTCACCCTCTCCGAAGCCCGATCCGCCAACCGACAGGACCTCTGTCTTGTCTGGATTGAGCTTTAGTTTATTGGCCCTCATCCAGCCCATTACCTTGGCCAGGCACCGGTTCAGTACAGCCACTGCCTCACCTGGATTGGTGGAAAACGAGAGGTAGAGCTGGGTATCATCAGCGTACTGATGGTTCCGCAGCCCACACCTCCTGATGACCTCTCCCAGCGGTTTCATGTAGATGTTGAACAGCAAAGGGGACAAAATGGACCCCTGCGGTACTCCATGGCAAAGCTGCCATGGCGCAGAGCCATAGTCCCCCAGCACCACCTTCTGAGACCGGCCATTGAGATAGGAGTGGAACCACTGCAAAGCAGTGCCTCCGACCCCCAATCCCACAAGCCTATCCAGAAGGATACCATGGTTGATGGTATCAAAAGCCACTGAGAGGTCCAGGAGAACCAACAGGGACGCACTCCCCCTGTCCATCTCCCTGCACAAGTCATCATACAGGGCGACCAAGGCAGATTCAGTACCGTACCCGGGTCTGAAGTCGGACTGAAATGGGTCCAGATAATCAGTTTCATCCAAGAGTGCTTGGAGTTGTCCCGCCACCACCCGCTCTAACACCTTGCCCAGAAACGGGATGTTGGCCACTGGTCTATAATTAGTGGCCATCTCTGGATCCAGTGACGCCTTCTTCAGGACCGGCTGGACTACCGCCTCCTTTAAAGGGGCAGGCACCCGACCCTCCCTCAGAGAAGCGTTAACCACTTCCAAGATCCAGGTCCCAATCCCGTGCTTGGAATTATTTATTAACCAAGATGGGCAAGGGTCCAATAGGCAAGTGGTGGGACGTACTCGTCCAAGCACCTTGTCCACATCATCGGGCCGCAATAACTGAAATTCATTCAATAATTCTGGACCAGACGGCGGCGTTGGCGTCTCCCTTAAAACCTCTGAATCAATAGTGGAATCCAGCTCGTGACGAATCTGAGCGATTTTCTCCCTGAAATGCCTGGCAAAGTCGTCACAGCGGGCCTTTGAGGGTGGAACCAGTTCTTCCTTCAGACCTGGACGAACCAGGCCTTGCACCACTCGAAAGAGCTCCACCGGACGGCATTGTGAGGAGGCAATGGAAGCGGAAAAAAATCTCTTTTTTGCCGCCCTCACCGCCACAGCATAGGCCCGATAGTGGGCTCTCAAGTGTGTTCGGTCAGATTCATCACGTGATTTCCTCCACCTACGCTCTAGCTGTCTCCCAACCTGCTTCATCGCCCTCAATTCAGGAGTATATCAAGGGGAAGAGCGGGCTCCGCCCGGTGGGAGAGGACGCTTAGGAGCGATCGTGTCTACAGCCCTGGTCATCTCCCCGTTCCACAGTTCGACCAGAGCCTCGACAGGAGCACCCGTCTTGTCAGCCCGAAACTCCCCCAGGGCCTTCAGGAATCCTTCCAGATCCATCCGGCTCCGGGGGCGGATCCACACAATCGGGTCCGCACCCTTACGGAGGGAGAAGTCGCTCTTGAGCACAAACCTCACCAGGAAGTGATCTGACTGTGACAGGGGAGTCAAGCATAAATTCCTCACTCTCAGACCACCCTCTTCCTGCCCCGTTGAGAAAACCAGGTCCAGAGTGTGTCCACGTTCATGGGTCGGGCCAGTGACATGTTGAGACAGCCCCATGGCCACCATGGAGGCCATGAAGTCCTGAGCCACCCCGGTCAGACCAGTCTCGGCATGGAGATTGAAGTCCCCCAGGACCAGCATCCTGGGGGTCCTCAGCACCAGGTCCAAGACGGTCTCCGTCAGCTCAGGCAGGGAGACTGTTGGGCAGAAGGGTGCACAGTACACCAACAGAATCCCCAATCTGTCTCGGTCCCAATCTGTCTCGGTCGCCCAACACCAAGTAGAGACACTCTAGCCCTGGTCTCGAAGGAACAGGA